AGCAGGATGACACGGTGGACACAGACTATTGCACCATGACAAATTCGGAGTTAGAGGCTCTGAACCTTCACAAGTGCTTTGTGTAACAGTCTCTGTTTCGGGTGGTTTGGTTTTATTTCTTTCTATCTTCCATGCAACTAATGTTGCTTTATTGATACTTTCCAGAACTCCATGAAAGTGATGTTCAAATGCCTGTGGAAAAACTGTGGGAAGGTGCTGAGCACAGCTGCAGGGATTCAGAAACACATACGGACCATTCACCTTGGGTAAGAGCAGCCTCTTCCAAGTGAGGTGGCATTTACTTCATTTGTGCTACCCACGTGTCACATCCAGGCTGACACTGGGCCAAAGACAGAGGTTTCTGGGTCTTGCATGGCTACTTCCCAGCTTTGTTTCACATCAGATCAGGTGCCTGTGCTAGTTCTGAGTCAAATTAACTCAGACATCCTCCTCCCCAAAAAAAGAGTAGTCTGGTGTGGAGCTCAGGAGGATCTTGCGAAGGTTGTAGTAGTTGCTGTTGGGCTTAGGCTCTGAAGGGTGAGGCTACCTGAAGCAGAGGAAATTTCTCCGAAAATGCAGTTGCGAATGTAGCTTTGTCCTGTATGATAAGGGAACATCCTTCTGTGACAGGGGAGAGGGAGGAGTAAACAGCAGAACTTCCCAGGAATTTGGATTTTGTAACTTTGCCAGAGAGAGGAGTTTTGGTGAGTGAGTGGCTGGATGGTACCGTCCAATGGAGGGCACTTCTGATAGAGCCTCTCAGACCCGCTGAACCCATGCTCTCAAAACAAATCCTGTTGAGTAAGGTGGTGAGAGGAACACAGGTAGAGGTATATGGGCAAGCAGGCTGAGGAACTGGCTCAGGGCTTGTTTTGGGGTTCATGCATGGAAAAGGAGAGGCTCAGCATTCAGCCCTGATATAGACACGCAGACAGGAGGATGCTTAGGGCTCCCAGATTTCTCATGTGGAAGACTGCGGAGAAAATATGCATGTATGAACTGTGAGTTACATATGTGTAGCATGTGGATTATGAACATGCTATAGTAGTGGTTTGATGTGGCCTTCAAGATAACATGTAGCCTACTGAGAACTACTGCTTTCACTGGGCTGCTTCCTTCCTAGCACTTGCGCTCAAAGACACAGCAGATAGTGTAGGGATTCAGTGACAATTGAACTTTTTACATATCCTTCTTCAGTAAATCTGCTTTTGGAGAGCAGGACCAGAAAGTCCTGCACTGGCAAACCAACCAGTACATGTCCTTTCTCTACTGTCTGAGTGATTTGCACAGGGAGACTCTTTTCTAGCAGCTTCTTCTGTTATGCCAGGGAAAGTTACCGTGTACCATGGCCATGACTATATTTGGTTTTATTAAGTAACCTATGATGAGATTACATATTGTTTGCCGTAATGTTACTGAAGCATATCTTGCTCGTGTTTGTTATCTGTACCTGTCTTTCTGTGGCTGCTCTGTCATTTCTGAAGTCAAAGTGCATTGAGATTCTTGTTAACTTCAATAGTTAGGAATGAGAAGCTGATATTTAAGCTGAAGCATAGAAGTTAAACATCTACTCCAAGGTCAGAGAATTAGTCAAGAGTAACACAGGGAGGAAAAAAAAATCGAATTCCTGCTTCTTTTCCCTTCAGACTAGATTATTTTCTTTTCCTCTCTCCCTTCCCTGCAGCCTGAGTGCTGATCAAGTAGGTAGGATTGAAAGTGGGAATATTAATTTATTGACAGTATGAATATATTTGCTCATGCATTTAGAACTTAAAATTTACCTCAGGGTTCTTGCTTTCATTTAATCAGTCCTTCTTTCTTTGTCTTGATACAGACGTGTAGGAGAGTCTGACTACAGTGATGGAGAGGAGGATTTTTACTATACAGAAATCAGGCTCAACACAGACTCGGTAGCTGATGGCTTAAGCAGTCTTTCCCCAGTCTCTCCATCTTTAGCATCTCCTCCTTCCTTTCCTACCCAAGACGCAATCCGTCCTGAAACTTCCTGTGCCAAAACTGAGACTAAATTGATGACACCTCTGAGCCGCTCAGCTCCTACCAACCTCTACCTCGTACACACGGACCACGCTTACCAGGTAAGACCAGTGAGAGCGAGCTCCCTTGATTACGCTCATGTCATTAATATATCAACAGATGTCACATCACAATGTTCGGGCTTTTAAAAGCCAAGTCTGGTCTTAATGGGTTGAAAAGTTTTCAAGGCAGCCCTGGGAATTAATCTCATTTAAATTTAGATGTGTGCTTCTGAGCTAGTTGGTTGCTTGTGCTCCCACCGTAGCTGGTGAATTTTGGCGTGCTATTTATCCAGCCACACACAGGTGCATACTTCAGGTTGAGAAGAGTCGCTCTGTGTATCCCACTGCCTACATCAATTAATTCTCCACTAATCGTAAGGAAGGCCCAAGGTGATGTGCTCTCATGTGGTCTCCTGCATTGTAAAAATTCTCACTCAGTCAGCTGAATCCCTCCCAGAGTCTTCATTTCAGCTTGGCTTGTACTGGCTGTGCTGTAGGCAAGTATCCAAGGGACGCCAGGAACAATTCATTTCCTGTATTTGTACAGCGTGATGTGAAGTAGAGCAGGAAGAATGCAAAGGCACATGTGATATCCTCCCACTCGTAGAGGTAATGCTTTGCAAATGGCAAAAATCCAATCAGATCCAAAACCTGCCGTTCCAGAAACTTCCAACAAAGTTCAGACAGAAAGCAGTAATTTTAAAAGAACACTAAAATTTGACATGTTTTGGTCTGGATACCATATGAGGAAAGAAGAACAAAGGCTTTGAAGTAGTGTGGTCCATGACCTGTGTATGCACTGGAGAGCTGAACTCTGTTAATTTATCAGATGCAATAGCTTTGGTGTACAGTGCTGTGCAGACGAAACCTTTTTGTTGTGTGTCTGGAGCAGCCCCACTGAAAGGGCAGAGGGAACCACACAGATTTGCAGGTCAGTGGCATCCTGTGCTAGGGTCCCTCTAGCCCAGCAAGAAGAGCACTCTCCAGGAGTCAAGGTGGAGATTCAACTCTCACCAGCAAGAGGAAGAAATGCACCCGGCTTTCACTCACAGCATTTAAGCATTCTTGTGACTAATTTGTTGTGTAAAAGGGAATAGAGAAGGGGAAGCCGGCATCTTTAATACCACCATATTTCCTGCAGTTTGCTTGCTGGAGTGAGCCATATACAGAATTTTAAAACTTTTTTTATTTCTGATAGAAATATTATCTGTATCAAAGTGAAATGAAGTATTGAATGGGAACATAGTGATGAAAACAATCTCTCATATGAATGAGAGCATGAAAGTGGAAATTACTTTATGGGGAGTGAAAGGGAAAAATCCACAGCTGAAGGAACTCAGATAAGGGAGGCTGAACAATGTTCATCCCAGGATTCCTCTTGAAGAAGGGAACAAAATATGGAACCCAAAGCTGAGTCACAAGAATCCTAAATGGATCCATTAACTGCCATTTCCCATATGACTAGAAAATGGCAAATACACTACAATGCCAGTGGTAAGAATGGTGTAAAGAGGGAGTGAGCTGGCAAGTCTCTTCTCTGACCCAGTCTTATGGATGAGGAAGGATTTAGAAGAACAGTTGAAGAAATCATGGAAGTGCAGCAGATGAGGTGTACTGCAGTGGAGGAACCCCAAAGGAAGATTGTGCTAGAACAGTCTGACATCTTCCTCGGAGGAGGCAGCTTTGTAAACAACAACCAGTACAGAAGAACAGACCCCTCTGGATTTGGGGAGAGCGTTTGATCTTAAAACATACAGGCAGTATTTGTTATGCTAGAGGTTAAATTTAGTGTAGGAGAAGAGAGAGAGCTGGGGAGTGAAGGACAACAGCGGTGAGTTATTTTGAGAGGGCTATCGAATGTTATTAGTGGACTTGAATGAAAAGCTGTATTTGGGCCTGATCTTATTTTCAATAAATCATTTTGGTACTGGACAAATACTATAATAAACTCTGTTGATAACAAACTCAGGAGACATCAGCAGTACAGGGATTTGTATATCATGCTTACATGATTGGGTGATCTTAAAAATAATAGGGTTTGGCTGCAATTTAATGGCAGAACATGCGAAGTCCTGCACCTTAGGAACTAATGAGATTTTTCTGCCGTAAACTGGGGTAGTTAGAAAACTACATGAGGAATAAACTTATGTTCATTAATCCATCACAAAATGACTGTGAGCCAACAACAGGTCTGTGAAAGGAAAACAAAAAAGTTGTCAGCTTTCTTAGGTAAGAAATGAGAGACAGGGATTTTTAGTGCCGTTGTACATGATCCCTGGATAACTTCAGGTGAGATCATGAGCAGAATTCTGGTGAGCCAAGGTCAAGGATGATGGGCTCCAGTTAGAAGAGGTAGGAAGAAGGTGATGGAGTGAAGAGGGAGGGCAGGGAGGACACAGGGCCTCTTCAGCCAAGGACTGGCAGCTCGGGCAGAGTCAGGGCGAGAAGGGGATGGGATGGGATGGGACGGGACGGGACGGGATGGGATGGGATCACTGCCTGGGAAGAAAGGGCAAACATGAGAGGGGAAGAGGATGAGCATGTGCTGTTTGAGAGATAAGGGCAATGTTGGCACAAATAAATAATTATAAATTATCTGTGAATTATTTTTGTTGGAAATTACATGGAGGACTCTAAAAAAAGTGAGATTAGGGTACAGAAACTCTTCAGTTCGTTGTAATGTTATGGTTCCTTACCTCATGGAAGAGATTGCCTAAATGTATTTTTAGGCAACTGCAAATTACACCAGTTTTAAACTTCTCATACTTAATGTTTCATTATGAAACTGGTGCCTGTACCTGTTAAATTCAGCTATGGAGAAACTCTAGGTGGGCTCTTGCAGCCTTTAGGATCTTCCTTGCAGGCATTAAATCCCTGAGGAAGGTACCATGCTGACCCCGGCTTTAAGCTGCTGTCCCAGTGGGATGCTGAGCAAGGTTGTGATGAAGCACTGCTGGTGCCATCTGGAGTTGCCAAATTTTTCTTTATGCCTTTCAGCAAGGTTTTTAAATGTTACAGACCTCCTTGGACGTTTTCTCCACATGTCTGTGCATTCTTTCGGAGCTGT